GATAGTCTGTCCCCTGTCTCAGGCTGTGTGATCACAGTGGCGATAGTCTGTCCCCTGTCTCAGGCTGTGTGATCACAGTGGCGATAGCCTGTTTGTGTTTAGACCTGTGTGCTTCTCACCAGACACACAGGTACAGTTTCTGGTTTTTCAGCAAAGCCTCTGAACGGTGAAGCAGCGTTTCCCTGAGGTGTGTCACAGCCTGGCAAGCTGCAGGGCGAAGCGCTGGGGTGGGGGAGAGCGAGCAGTTGCTCAACATGTGAACAAAGAGAACCGACCAACATCTCTCAGCTCAGCAGCAGAAAGTCGCCCGTGAGAACGGGGCACAGCGCCCCCTGTCTGCTCTCGCCTGGCAGGAGCCGCAGAGCTCCAGGCTGCGCGGGGCAGGGAGGCACCTTGACCGAACACGCCTGGTATCAAGAATTTGATCTTGGAGCAGAAGTTGTTACCTGTTTTACTTCAGAGTTGCCAAATCCTACAAAACCACCAGAGGAATGCAGGGAAAGAAGTAGGGTACACCCTCACCCACCGAGCCAGGCCACACCCACTCCCGACGCTGAGATCTCACCGTTCGCACCTTTATCTGCAGTTTGAAGAAATCTCTTGTTTTAAGTCGGGATGTTTGCAACAACAAATTAGAATCAAAAGCTGTTTTGGGGAATTAGCCTGGATTGACTGTACATCACTGTTCACAACCACAGATAAGGATTTTAAAGTGTGCTGGACAAGTGTTGATCGACGCCTCTGTGGCCCTGGGGAGACTCCTGGCCCCTGTTGTAAGCCTGAGCCCCAAGCCTGAGGCGCAGGGTCTGTCCCAGCTCAGGACCAGCACAACACCAGCCATCGGGCTCCTGGATTCAGGCTGCTGCTCACAAGGCACCTCTGAGGCCTGGAGCCACGAGAGGCGGACCAGGGTTAAACCAGGGCCACACAGGGGCCACACCTGGATTAAACCAGGGCCACACAAGGGCCACACCCGGGTTAAACCAGGGCCAAAGCAGGGCTAAACCTAACCCCCCCATCACCATCACAGTCCCACAGGACACAATGAGCTCTCTTGTGTGACTCGTCTTAACGTTTCAATCTCTAATCTGGCTGCTCTGCATACCTGTCAACACAGAGCTTTCAAAATAAGGGCCGACTCTGCCCTGAGCAGCTCACTGCTCTGAACCCACCCATCGCCCGTGACTGTGGGAACTGCAGTCTCTTTTAATCAGTAGGTTCACAATCAAACAATGGAATCCTTTATCTCTGCATAGAATCGCACCTGTCAGCCGCAGCCACTGCAGCAGAAATGCAACCTCAGAGGAGGGAAGCCAGCCCTGCAGCCTGCGAGCTCTGAGAAGAGCTGGGACAACTCTATTCAGGCCCTCTGCTGGGCTATGATGTGTCCAGCAAGGGCACTGGCCAGGGCTGGAGTGACCTCTAGACTCTGCTGGACAGCAGTCACAGAAATCAAGAACCCGGTTCAACTGCCCCTCAATGTCCCTGTGCTTTCAGATTCCTGCCTTATTACTCATTACTTTGACATATCTAATAGTTGGTGATTGTCTTTTGAATCTGATATAAAAAGGTCTAGTAGTTTAGACATCACATTCCTTCAGGTTTATTTGCTCCTGTAAAATCTGTCCTGGCTCATATTGCTCTGTTTACCCATAGACAGCTTTGATCTCCACAGCATGTGATTCTGTGTGACTGTGTGCATGCACATTTGTTTGTGTGTGGGTGTGTTGCTCATGCATACATGTGTATGTAATTGTGGGTGTGTGCATGATTGTGCAAGTGTAGTGTGTGCTTGTGCAATGGGCTTTGGTCTGATCAGCAATCACCAGGACACTGGGCAGCGTGCAGGAGGTCTGCTAACTGGGCCCTTCAGACCCCCACACACTTCTCTTCTGCTTTCCCCAGTGTGTCCACAGGCGGCGCTGTTCTGCAGAGGGACAATGGCAATACTGCTATACCCAGATCCATGTCTCAGGAGGTGGCTTCTCTCTGGCTGAGCTGACTGCTCTTCCCTGAGCAAGAAACAAACTCAAGCAGGCCCCTATTAAAACAGAGGTGATTATAGCTGCTTCAGGTGACACTGACTGATTTTATCAAAAGCCCTTCCTTCCATTGTAAAATCTAATAGGGTATCACAATAAAACAGTGACTTGCTGGGCGTTAAGTGGAGGGTCACAGAAACTGCACAGGAAAGCAAAATGGAGCTCAGAACAATCATCCATCTGTGAGCTAGTGAGCTGGCACTGTGAGAGAGCCACCTCCTCATGGAAAAGCACCTGCAGGATCAGGCAGCTGGTCCAATTGACTAATTAGCACTCAGAGGGAATGAAATTCCACATGAAAGAAATGTGCTGTCAGGATAGGTTCTGTGTGGAATCAGCCACTCCTCTGGGTTAATTAAGAGGCTTTTAAGAACTGGGAGGATAAGGGTTTCAGTGTGTGTCTATGCTTCAGTCTTGAAGGTGGGAGAGTGAGGGTTCATTAGTACTGTATTGGAGGCTAGCCTACAAGTGGAAAATAAATAAATAAATAAATAAATCTTAGATCTGTCTGAAGGGTATCCCAGGTGTTGGACAGGTGGGTAGTTTGTCAGACTTGATGGGGTTGAAGTGTGAAACGGAGGAACAGGACTGTGTAGCACAGCTGAGAGAGTCCGATGTGGATCTGCTGTCAGGGGCTCAGGTGGGGTTACTGGGGTTTCCCAGGCCAAACTGGATCGGCAGGGAGAGTGATGAGATGCTCCTGGCTGTGAAGATCGGGCATTTGGTGAAGAGTGACTGTTGAAATACAGAGTCTAATCTAATACTCTGGTGTCTTTTAAGGGATAGCGACTAGTGAAGTTAAGAAGTCGGCAGTAGTTGATTGGGTTGGATACTCAGGTACATGGTGAGTGATGGAGAAAGGAGTTGATGAGATCCTAGTGAGTGAGGTGAGTATGTGCAGTACTTGGTGAAGATTGAAATTTAGACTGAGTTGACCAAGAAGCATAGCTTTGCTGTTTAGTATATAGATCTGAGTGAGTAGTTAGGAAACTGAAGCTTGGGCCCACTCTCTGCAGGTGTGCTTGCTCTGATGCTGGGGCTGTGAGCTCAGAGCTCCCTGGAGACATGGTAGCCTCTGTGCATAACTGTTAATGGATCTTCTGTCCTGTTCAACAGGACTGTGGCCACTTCATTGCAGGTACAGTACAGCTGCAGCTCTTACTGTAGGACTATAGCTCCTAACACAGCAAAGTGAGCTTCTGGACAGAGAGCTCAGATAATTGGACTGAAGCCATTAAGCTGCAGACGGGTCAGTTAAGGGTGGAACAAAGATCCCTGGAACAGCCTTTCACATACTTAAAATAGTTGGGATGGTTGTGGATTATTTGGCTTTAGCTCTGCAAATAGGTGCTAAACCTATGAATTCCTGCCCCTGCTTTCATCTCCAACAGGTTTTATTTCTTCACTGAAGAAGTGCACTTTCAAAGCCCAGTGTCTGACAGACTCTGAAGCTTCTGGAACAATAAAAGCTGGGAACTTTTCCAGTCCTGAAATCTCTCCGTGCTCTGGTCAGCGTGGAGCCCAACGCCTCCGCGGTTTGTGTGAGGAAGGGCTGAGGCTGTGCTGTCAGCTCAGTGTCCTGGATGCCCCTGGGAAACAGCGGACGGGCTGACCGGCCTCGCGTGGGCAAGGGGACTCCAGCCCAGTCTGGGAAGGGCATGACTGTCACCAGCACGGGAAAAATATCTCAGTCAGCATTCTCCCTGGCAGCACTTCAAACAAGGCCACTGCCTCTTGCAGATAAACCTTATCTTTAGCACCATGGAAATCCCAGAGGTTTGCGAAATAAAATGAGCTTTTCACGTGATGCAATTCATATAGGCAGATTTTTATCAGACTCCAAACACTTTGGCTCTGAAAGCTCTGAGATTGGAAGTTATTTATGGACCTGTAAGAGCTACTTGTACAAACATGCTACAGATGGACAAAACTTTCAGCAGTGTTGAGCTCCGGGCTGTCTGAAGTCCAGATTCCCCAGCTGACAGTATAAGACAATCCAGTCCAGGGCAGCAGCACTGTCTGGCATCTAGACTCTGTGCAGCACGATGAAAGGGTCACATTCATCGGACTGCTTGTGCTTTAGTGCTTATGACCTCCGACCTCTGCTCTCTCTCCTGTGGTTTGTGGGCAGAGGCAGGAGTTCCAGCAGTTTTATGTGTTGGATTTGCAGATGAGTGGGGTTCATGCAGGTCCAATCTAGGACACCTCTGCCACTCAGCTTTCAGCATAGAATGAACCATTACCTTTTCAAATCCAGACATGGAGCTCCTCCCAGCTTGCTAGCTGGTCTCCTGCCTCCTTTCTTGAAACAAAAGCTCTGATCTCCTTCCACTATGTCCACAGCTTGTTTGGGTCACTGTGCCAGTTTTGTGTGTGGTCTTGGTTGAGGTTGGCACATCCAGGACCTCCAGTAGGTTCTAGTAGAAAATGGTTGTTTTTTCTTCTTGTTTAATGTTCCTTAAAACTGCCAGGAGTTTGCCCCCTGTTACAGTCGGTGTGATTAACTCAGCCAGCCTGGCCTCTCGCCCGCTTCCTGCTGCCAGCTGTGTTGCTGTGGTGGCAGTGTGAAAGGTCAAAGGGCGAGGCTGTGGCCAAGGCCCAGCGATGTCGCCTGCCCTGCAGGTGGGGAAGGGAGTAGTGATTGGCAGAGTGCAAGGCTGGAGCGCCTGTGTGGAGCTGTCCAGTATACTGCCTGTGCACTGCAGTTACAGGAGCAGCGCGACTGTGGGGCTCCGCTGGGCCTGTGACTCACAGCAGGAAGAGGGAGGGAGTGCTTGTCACAGCTTGTCAAACCCCATTAGCAACATCCGCCTGCTCTTCTTCACTATGACCAGCTTTCAGGATCAAGCCTTAAAATAGAGCCTCCCTCTCCCACACCCCCCGTTATCCATGAGAGTCATGATCCTGTTTCCTTCCTGTTCTGGTCTGTCTGCTTAAAACCCAGTGAAGATGAAGGCTTGATGCAGATGATCTAATGACCTGATCTGGACAGCTTTTCTTTCAGGTAACAATCCTTCCTTTCAATCATGTCTCCCTCAGCTTTGTCGTCTTTACAAACTTCCTCTCCCCGTTTCCTTCCCTAGACTGCGGGAGACAGAACAACCTCAGAAAGGGGGATGCTGGTGGTCAGCACTGCTCTCACACTTCCTGTGTTTGATTATGGCCTGAGCCTCATTCTGTGTGGAGTGTGCATGTTCTCTTCTGGCCATGTGGCTTTTCTCCCGGTACTGCAGTCTTCTCCTGCAGTCCAGAGACATGCTGGCCACGTTCACTGGTGTCTGTAAATTGTCCCAGTGTGTACCTGTATTTGCCAGAAGCTGTATCATCCTGCAACTCACAGTTGGCAGCCCACTGAAGCCTAGCAGGTATGAGCCTGGTCAGTACCTGGATGGGAGATTCCTGAGAAAGCTGAGGCAGCTGCTGGAAGAGGTGTTAGTGGGGCCAGTAGGGGGCGCTCACTACATATATTGACGGAAACACTATAGTGTAAGAAGGCGCCATCTTTTGGATGAGACATAAAAACGAAGTCCTGACTCTCCGTGGTCATTAAAAATCCCAGGGCAATTCTCTAAAAGAGTAGGAGTGAAACTCCGGCATTCCTGGCCAAATTTCCCTCTGGCCTTTACCAATCATGGCCTCCTAATAATCCCCATCTCTGAACTGGCTTCATCACTCTGCTCTCCTCCCCACTGAGAGCTGGTGTGTGGGGAGAGGACTGGAGCACTCTGGCTGCTGTCACACCACCTAGGTGGGGCTGCACACTGGTGGTAGTGGAGGAGATCCCCATTACCTGTAAAGTGCTTTGAGTGGAGTCTCCAGAAGAGCGCTTTATAAGTGTAAGGAATAATTATTATTATTATTACTTAATGGTTTATTTGTCTAATGTTTTTATGCAAAATGACTGACACTTGCACCCTTTTCCTTTGGATTCGATGCCACACCCTTGCGGTTCGGAGTCCAGGGCGCCACTTCTGCCTGCTGCGAATGGACAGCCTGCGATGGATCCAGGAGTGTGGCCGAATCCAGAGTTTCCACACGCAGCAGAAGATCTGCAACGTTTTGCCTCTGTTGTCAGACCAGCTGCTGCTCCCTGTGCCTGAGCAGGAGTCCCAGTCTCCATACATCACAGCTCCGCCAGCTCCACTTACTAGTTTTCCTGCCACATTTATGACGTACTTTATTTGTTGTTTACATATCTCTTGGAATTTGCTCTTCGTGAAGATCCTTGTCTCTTCGTGGAGTTTCTGTCGGTGTGACTTGGGGCAAGTAGTCAGGCCCAGTGTCTGAGTGGTGGTGGGAAGAGGACTGCGCTGTGTGTACGCTGTGTGTGTGTGTGTGCACTGAGTGGGTGCTGTTTGTGTGCTCTGCCTGCCTGTGTGTGTGATGAGCGTGCTGTTTGTGTGTGTGCTGTGTGCAATAATCTGCCTGTTCGCTCTGGCTCTGCAATTAGTGTCTGCTAACGAGTTTGCCTGGGGGTCAGAGGTGGGGTGGCAGGAGGATGAATGGGGGGTACAGTTGTGCAAGCCCCCCATGTGATTTAGAATCTGGCTAGTTTGAGGGGTGTTGGGCTTGAGTCTCCCAACACAAACAGAATGAGAAAGAGCTGACTGCAGTGAGGTGGAACCCTATACAGGAGCTGTGTCTGAGGAAGTGGGTTGTGTAAGCGTCCTACCGAACAGAATAATCTCTCTGTAATTCTAGCTCTCAGATACGCCCTGTTTGTTCAAAGCTGTTGGCTCTACAGCTGCGTAGGGCAGCCCAGACACAAAGCAGGCAGGAGCCCTGATCCTGCCTGTCTGCTCAGCTGGGGCTCAGCCCATCTGCCTCCACCTGTACGGTGCAGACCTGCTGCTTGAAGTCCAGGATTAGCCCCTGAGCTCTGAGCAGCCCCAGTGCGATGAGCTGTCAGAGATCTGCAAGACCGCTCCCAGGATATAGAAGCAAGAGAGAGATGCGGTGTCCTCTGACTGACCCAACTGCGTCTGTCCTGCGGCCTGAGACCAGAGGGTCTCCTCTGCTCACACTCGCCTCCTGCTCTCTGTCTCTCCAGGCCAGCTCTCAGAGCCGGCAAGACTGGGCTGGTTTCTGGGCTGGCTGGTCCGGAAGTGCGACGGGTGGGCTGCTCTTGATCCGTAGTGCTTCATCAACCACAGCCTGGCACACACCAGCGGTGATTCCAGTACCAGTTCCGCCCTGGGCATCAGTCTGAACAAAAGAGCCTCCTCTTTCCCATAAAAATGATGAGGAGCCACCTGTGCTGATTCCCCTGCAAGCAGGCGCCTGTTCCGGCTGTCCTCTGGCCCGTGGGGGTCCGCAGCTGAGTCCAGCTTTTAATCCCCTGCTCCTGGAGAGGGACACGCTTGAGATTTAGTACTGAAAAATAGCTAGGTGTCGTTTTCAAAAACAGCTCATTTTAAAAATAACAGCTGTTGCACGTAAAGGCTCAGTCAGCGCTTGCGGTTCCTGAAGAGCCTTTGTGAGTCACCTGGGTGCAGGTGGAGCTGATCTTCGGGCTCTGCTCCCTCAGCTGCTCATTAATCACTTGAGGCGAACAGTTGCTTGATTGAAGAAATTAATCCCAGGTCCTGCTTGATGCAAGAGCGCTATGCAAACCTGAAAAACCTGATGAAGAGCGCCACCTGGAGGCCTGCTGCTGCCATGGAGATTTACCACTGGTTCTTCTCAGTGTGTCACTGTTGTTATCAAGAGCTGGGCTGTGGGCGATCTGGCGGGGATCTTCCTGCTGCTTTCAGGCGCCACGGAGAAAGATGTCATAAACCCGGACAGCTCCGGGTTTAAAGGTCGGGAGCTTTGAAATTCACCTTTACCATAAAAAGATACGTAGGTCTCCTGCCCCTCTCTCTCCTTCGGTAGACGTTTATTGATTGTTCTGTGTCTGATCGCAAGGAAGCTTTCACTCTTCTGGATGAAGAGGCTGAAATTTACACAGAGGCAGATAAGCCAGATGTGCGCTTCAGCTCCCACATCCCTTCGCAAACGGAAAACTGGCTTGAACAAACATCTTAAGTCTTGGAAGGAGCACTTGATCGAATAAAAGGATGCAGTAGAGTCTGCTAGATCCTGCTACTTCTCCCACATCACTGAGAACAACAATAACACTAGATACCTGTTGTCCACCATCAATAGACAGCTAATACCAAACTAGCCCACTACATTACCTGCTTCATCCCAGCTTTGCAACACTTTGTTAGAGTTTTTTACTTCCAAGAGTGACAACTTTCAGCATTATGATCTCTCCCCAATGCATGTTAAGACCACATCTCCTCCTTGCATAACTGGTTCTGCTGGTTCCCTTCTCTCTAGTTTCTCTCAGCTGGACACTGCGTGCCTTAGTAAATTGGTATTGTGTGTGAAATCCAACACTTGTTTATGGGATCCCCTTCCTGCTGTTATATTTCAGTAACAAACTATATTTTCAATAACAAACAAGTCCTTTAGCCCTGGAGTGAAACCAACAGCCGTTAAAATAGCTGCTGCTTTCCGGTACCTTAAAACCCAGATATGGCTCTGGACAACCTAAACAATTTTCCTTACTCCTGTCCTGGAGTCCCTTCACTGGCTTCCTATCAAGCTTCATGTCAACTTCAATGTGCTCTTGCTCTCCTGTGAAGCTCTACATGGCTTGGCACCTCTGCAGCTGTCTTCCTGCTCCCCAGCTCGCAGCCTTCACTCATCTGACTGCAGTCTCGTTTGTCCCCAGGTTTCGTTTACCTTCTGTGGGTGACTGGGTCTTCTGCTACGACGATTTTAATTTTGTTAACTCCTTTTCTTGTTAACTTTTTTTTCTTCTTACTGTAAAGTGCTTTGAGAAGCTACTTTAAAAGGCCCCATATAAAATAAACCACTACTAACATTATTAAACTCCTCAGAATCCGCAGCTGCGAGAACTGGGGGGCTGTAGTTGCAGCTCTTTGCCACGAGGTGTCAGACTTTAGCACGTTTTTCGATTTATGTGCTTTTCACATAATATTTCGGTTTAGAACAGGCTCTTGTGCCTACATAGCTATTTTATTTTCAAATAAAGAAATGTTATGGTCTCACAAGTGTAGTTTACTGCTGGCAACGACAGAGGAGTTGTAGGGAATTCTGACTGCTGAAGCAGTGTTGAGAGGTCAGAGGTCACAGCTGAGGCGAAACAGGCAGGTTTATTGTTTTGTCGCCTGCAGTAATGCTGCAGTAATAATGAAAGGATGATCACTTCCACGGTGACATTGTAATGAAAAGCAAGAACGCGAAGGGCAGGGAGAGATCCAGGTTTGATCTCCGTGTTTCAGGGATTAGGGAAGAAAATCTCGGAAACACAGCTCTGTGAAAGAGAGGCATTGCCATGGGAACGGCGCATGATGACAGCGGGATCAGGTGACTCGGGGGTTATGCCGGGAGATTTTCCTGGTTTCGTAGCATGCAGCTGCTCCTCCTATTGTTCTCATTTCTCTGCAGCAGAGAGCAGTCCTGAGCTGGAGTGAGTGAGGGTGTGTCAGCAGGTCAGGTTGTCCTCAGGCTCGGCTGACACTGCTATTCCTCTCTGAACGAGTGGAGACTTGAATTTACTGCCTCTTCCAGGACAAACAGTAGATCTAACATCCTCTAAACTCTAACCTATGACCCCTGACCCCACAAGCGATGGCAGTAGATCTGGCGTTTCTGCAGAGGGACTGTGAGCCCATTCCTGTCTCCTTAATCCTGGACTGGTCCTATTCGATCCGTTACAGCACTGGTCTGTCCTCCGCAGCAGCTCCCCGAGAGTGACCGGGGCAGTACACCGCCGAGCGGTCCGGCCGGGGAGCTGCCCGTGTCGAGCCTTCGCTCATCCTGACTCGGGGAATAACGCAGCTGGAATTCCCCGGGAGACACACCAGCACGCAGCTCTGGACAGAGAACAAAGAGCAGCAGGACGGTCGCTGCTGTCGAACGGGCACACTGGCCTGCTGTGAAAGCGAAACTAATCTCACGCACAGCTTCTCACCTTAGAAACGGTCTATCCTTGTTTGTCTTTGTCAAAAAAAAACGCAAGTCAAAGATAGAATAATTTAGGAACATTTATACTGTAAACAACACAAACTAAAAAAATGGATGTGACAGTTTCTGTCGTTGATAAAGCACAGAAAGCCACAGACTGGACACAGACACTGGACACAGGCAGACCTGGCTGCCCAGAGAGGACAGGCTCAGTGCCCACAGCCTGGACACAGACACTGGACACAGGCAGACCTGGCTGCCCAGAGAGGACAGGCTCAGTGACTACAGCCTGGACACAGAAATCCCTTTCTGCTGCACTGTGAGAAATATTCTAAAAATTTTTTTATTCTTCACTAAAATAACGAATCTAACCCCAAAATTCCCACTCCTGCCAGAATTGAGAGGTAACTCAATAGAACTTGGAATAATAATAGTACGCTTTTTGTTGTAAATGCTTTCTAAATGTTATTGCTTTGGCTAATAAAGCTCGCCGAAATTTCAAATCTGAGATCCAGAGAAAGAGAGAGAGAGACGGGAGAGAAGAAAGGTCACACCTCAGAGCCCGACACATTTCTATTCTAGCTGCAGTACCGGATGTTACCACAATGTAGCAGTGTTGCTCCAGTGTAGATGTTGTTTTGTTAAAGATATAGTTTCTTTACGTTATAACTGTTGTGTTTTGAAGAAATAAAAGCATAAGCTTCCACATAGATGTAAGTTTGTGTGTAGGTGTTGAAAGTGTCTGTAGCACCCTCAGCTACCCGCTCCTCTCTCTGTTTCTGAGTGACCCAGCCCTGAGCAAAAGGCGCTGCAGAGCAACAGAAGAGGAGAAGGCACATACCCCACATCCAGGGGGCTCGTCAGGTCAGCAGTCAGAACTAGGGTCGCACCCAGAGCGCCCCTGCTCCGTGCGCAGAAACACCAGTGAGCCTGGAGGTAAGAGACAGAGGAACATTGCCACCTGCTGCAAGGGGCAGCTTTTACAATTTTAACTTCTGTAGGATTCAGAGCACTCTTTTATCACTCCTCCCCAGGCCCATGCCTCTGTCTCCCTCTCCGGTCCCTGGAGGCCGGCTGGGTCGAGCCCCAGCCCAGCACTCGCTTTCTGTAGCAGTGTCTGCCCCTGAGGGCCTGACTCAGAGCTGCCCAGTGAACCATGACAAACGCCTGAGTCACAGGGTACAGCTGTTTATCTGTGCTTGAATGTGTGAGAGAGAAATCTGCGTTCTCTACCTGTTCATATGGTTTGTGTTTGTGCGTCTACCCATTGTCATTGTTTATGTTTCTTGTTTGTGTGCTGGCTCTGTGGTTGTTTGGTGTGTATGTGTCTCTGTGTGCTGGCTCTATGGTTGTGCGTATGCGTCTGTGTGTGCTGGCTCTGTGGTTGTTTGGTGTGTTTGTGTCTGTGTGCTGGCTCTGTGGTTGTGTGTCTGTGTGTTGGCTGTGTAGTTGTGTGTTTGAGTGCATCTGTGTCTGTGTGTGCTGGCTCTGTGGTTGTTTGGTGTGTGTGTGTCTGTGTGCTGGCTCTGTGGTTGTGTGTCTGAGTGTTGGCTTTGTAGTTGTGTGTTTGAGTGCATCTGTGTCTGTGTGTGCTGGCTGTGTGGTTGTGTGGCGGCTGCAGGCTGTGGTGTTGTGCTCTATTCTTCTCCGGCACACAGAGGGTGAATTGTCGGGGGGTGAAGGGGAGGGGAGGGGCAGGGCGACAGCAATGTGTCTTTGTTATTCTGTCTCACCGCGCTCTGTGCCTGACTCTCCTCGCAGAGCCAGATCCACACTACACAGAGGAAGCAGCACACAGTCCGTTGAGCCGGCGAGCTGCCTCTCCCTCTCTGTGCCCTCTCTGCCCTGGCACCTCGGCAGCATGGTGAACAGATAAGCGCCAGTCCCTCACCTGCCCCCTGCGTGGAAACAGCATGGGCGCCTGCGTCCAGAAAGGTAAGCGCCTCTGCCTGCTGTCCCGCCCGTCGCCACGCTCATACGGCTCCACTGCCGGGGCTGGGCTGTTTCTGGGGTCTGGGGGGCTACTTGGGATAGCCTGGAGTTCAGGAAAGTTAGGACTGCGCTGGCGGTGACATTCGCAAAGGAATAGATGAAAGTCATGATGATGCATAATAACTGGAACCGTCTCCAGAAAATGTCCTAGCTGGGTTTGCATTTGACTGATGAGTGTGAGTCCAGGGGGACCCCAGTCTGACCCCTGACCCCAGATCTCTGTCTGCGACCCCCCACTGGAGTCCAGTTCCCCTTAACCCAACTGATCGCTCTGGCACCCCACTGTCAGCTCTCTTTTGATCTTGAGTCTGGGTTCTTATATGAGAGTTCAGAGTCTGGGTTATTTTGTCATCTTTTTTAATATAAGTGTAAAAATACTGGGAGAAGAGAAGAGATCAGATAATCTGAATCTGCTATTTGGTTCTCTAGAGTTGTTTATACAATTAGGTGAAGAAGACAAACAGCAACATGACTATAGAAACCAATTCCAATATTTTCCGTTCTGTCGATGTTCATGTCGATGAAGCCTTGGCTCATGTGGAACATGTCCCTGCGTCAGGACGTCCTGTCTGCAGCACCAGCTGGGGTCCAGGGACCCCTCGCAGGACACAGGATCTTCACATGGCTTCTCTGTGGAAAATCTGCGCCTCTCTGCAGGGCAGCCTGAATGAAAATCAAATCCGTCAGAACAAACTCAAATTACATTTCTGTTTCAGCCGCTGAGAAATCAACATAAGTCAAAAATCACACATGCTCATTGATATATGTGTCACTATCTGTATTGCACAGCTCCTTATTATTATTACTGGAGATCTGGGTTTCCATCACATCATCAGAGCAGGGTTTTCATCACATCAGCAAAGGACCCTCAGCTCAGATCAAGACAGGTCCAGGAAAGCTGTTCAGAACCCCAGAGCACCACAATCTGATTCATTCCTGGCTTTACAGTGTTTTCAATTAGACTCCCAGTGCAGGGCAGCCTGTTCCGCTCCAGGTTTAACCAGCTGCAAGTACTTGTACTCCTGGATTACATGATTGTTAACCCACACATGTACATTGCTAAGTGTCTTGACTTAAAAGCTGTAGATTTACATATCCTACTCCTGCATTTCTGATTCCGCTGTACAGTTTGTACCTGTTGGTATCTGCTTCTAGCAGTGAGAGTCTGATGCAAATGTCTGCAGCAGCTGACTCTGCCCTTTGCTCTGTGACCTCTGAGCTCATGCCCGAAACTGAGCACGAAAGTCTCCTCTCAGTGGAAGTCGTGACTTTAAAACGCCCCAGATTTGCGTCTGTGCTGAGTAAGAGACAGGAGAAGGGTTAGCCGGAGCTCTAATGCTCATTCAAGCTCAGCTCACTGTCTGGTCTGTGCCACTGAGGGCGTGCTGCTGGCCTCCTGTATGCCGCGCAGAGTGCCGGAGAAGCACCAGTCGCTGTGCCAGTGGAGGGGGGTAAATGAGATCTCTCGGGGTTTCCCCCTGGGGGACGGCCTGCTCAGTGCTTCACGGTTACCAGGGAAACCTGGGTAGCAACAGGAGGAGAGTGGTGAGGAGCATGCTGGGAGCAGAGAGAGGAGCAGAGAGGAATAAAGATCCAAACCATCCCAGTGGACCAGTGCACCATTAAACACAGGAAACACGCGCTCAAGGACTGTTGAGGAAAAACAAACTCTTCCCCTAATCTTATTTATCCACTCATTTTTCCAAAATCTGATTTTCTGTGTAGATGAGTTATTTAGGAATAAAGCTCATTTTAAAACACAGTTGGCAGAGTGAGATAAGAGAGGGAAAAAGCAGCACGAGACTGAAAGCGCAAAAGAAAGATGGAGCAGAAGGGAAGAAACAGAAAAGACGATCTTGCAGGCCTCCTCTGGCCCCTCTCCTTCCCCCCCGGCCTGTCCTGCACGCGCTGGAGCTCGAGTGAGGGGCGAGGGCTTCACAGCAGATCACGAGCTCCCATCCAGTCCACTGAGAGAGGGGAGCCAGGTTCTGAAACATGATCCATCTTGGCGCTCAGGCCCAGGTAGAGACAGCAGATGCAGGTTTTCTGGCCTAATCATCAATTTCCCTTCGGGATCAATTAAGTCTTATCTATCTATCTAATTCTGTAATTAGCAGGCTGAGTGTTCTCTGTTCTCTGGGTTCCTCCATAGACATACAGACAGTGCAATCCACAGACACAGAGCCCACTTCTCCAAACTCCAGTTTCTGTCTCATGCCCACACTTCATTAACCATTTTAGCTTAATTAACTTCAGGAGACTGAGCACCTTGGCAGCGCTGTCTTTATAAAGGATTCTTGTGGTGCTTTCCATAGTAGAAATCCAGTAAAGTTCAGTGAAGGCCAGGGGGAAGCTGGAGACGTAGGGTAAGTGTTTCTACAAGTCAGTGGGAGCTGCAGCACAGCAACATCATGCAGAAACTGCCAAGCGTGCACACAACACTGCCTGTCCGGACACACACACAGCAGGCTCCCAGTGTGTCTGTTCCACGCTTGTCTGTCTATCTGCCTGCCTGTCTTCCTGTCCGTCTGCCTGCCTGCCCACCTGTCTGCCAGTCTGTCTGTATGTCTGCCCATCTGCCCGTCTGTCTGCCCGCCTCTCTGTGTCTGCAGGGGAAGGGCTGTGTCCCCTTGGCCAAGCTGTCATAAGGATTGAGACAGAGCTCTCAATGTGACCTGCCTGGTTTTAATTGAATCGATCAGTTGACTGATGGAATACTTGATGCGACTGGTTCTGCCGTGGCTCAGAGAGAGAATGGACTCTCCTGCTTTTATTCCAAGCCAGTTCTCCAAACCAGTTTCCAGCTCCATCGAATAAGATGAGACTGATCTTCACCCTCTGCACACACCCAGAGGAGTATTGGCCTGGGTATTGTCTGCAGCACAGTAACAGTCTGCTCTCCAGGTAAAGCCTGCTCAGTCTGACCTGGCGCACAGATCAATGGGATCATTGATTTGATCGTATCAGGCGTCCGCCGCTGCAGTCTGGAGGTGTGCAGATTAAACCCAAAGACACTGTGACTAACAGCCATGCTCAGTGAAGAAAGCCTGTCAGTGTTGTTGGGGTGATGGGTGAGAGCTTGACTCTGGGTGACTGCCCCCTCCTGGTGACAGGTGGACAGGCAGGGCGCGTGCCTGCAGGACGGCAGTTTTTAAGAGCTGGAAAGCAGTAAGGAGGCCTGATTCTGGTACAGTCCCCTAGGAGCTGAACCAGAGGTGCCTGTTGGGAGCCACATGGAGGAACACAAGGCCCTGCACAGCTGGTAAACATCTCGGGTTCAGCAAGTAATTTAAAAAGCGAAAATGACTGTGTCTCTCGACTGGGCAGCTGTGAGGACAGCAGAGCTGCCTGTGGTGAGGCTGGACGGCTGCAGTTTGTCGAAAGGCACTGGGAGGCTGTTGGTATTGAGGAGGCTCACAGCCGCTGCTGCAGGCCGAGGGGACACGTCCATGGCCGAGGGGACACTCCGATGGCCAGCATGGTGTTCATGTTTGCTTCTGAATGCAGGACAGAAGAGTGGTCTGTCCTACTGGTGCAATTTTGTCACTAACTTTGTTTCTCTGTTTGCTGCAGAGCACTACAGCGCCCCCCAGCCCCCGTCAACAGAACTACAGCAATGGCCATCCTACTCAGAGGACCAGCCCATTGTCAAGGTGGGGGGTCTCACGTTAAGGATATGTATTTAAAAGCCACAATTCATTTCTAGGTACAGCAGCTGTGAATCTATATGTGGAGTGAGCAGAAGTGCTTGATGCTCTATACACCACACTTCCAAGAACTTCAGAAAGTTCACCAATGATCTGGCCACCTGGCATTTAGTCATTAGTAGCGGATTGATCCCAGGGTCTGATTGATCCCGGGTGTGAGCTGATGGACATCAGTCCGTCTGTCCCTGAATCCCTTCACACTCTCAGTTTCCACATGTGCTCTCTGTTTCTTGTTTCGGGTTCATTCTGAAGAAGTCTCACCACGAGCACATGTGGTTTTATGCACCTAAGTCTGGAGAAAATGTGAATTGTGTCACTTTCCCCACTACCAAGTTAAAGAGGTGCTGGAATTTTGCTCAACAACTCCCATAGGACTAGGAGCTGCTGTTCCCCGTCCTGACACCCAGATCTGTGAAGAGGCCGGATCGCAGTCCTGGATAGTGTCAGTGAAGGGTTCTTTGCTAAAGAGCATCTGTCAGCAGCACTGTGCAAATCCCAGCCCCGAAGGCTCCACTAAGAGGCAGGCTGTCCTACTTTTTTGTTGGGTCTGGTGCTGTCCTGTCCTGCAGCCCTGCTGGGTCTGGTGCTGTCCTGCAGCCCTGCTGGGTCTGGTATGGTCCTGCAGCCCTGCTGGGTCTGGTGCTGTCCTGCTGGGTCTGGTGTGGTCCTGCAGCCCTGCTGGGTCTGGTGCTGTCCTGCTGTCCTGTCCTGCAGTCCTGCTGGGTCTGCTGCTGTCCTGCTGGGTCTGTTGCTGTCCTGCTGTTCTGCTGGGTCTGTTGCTGTCCTGCTGTTCTGCTGGGTCTGGTGCTGTCCCACAGTCCTGTTGAGTCTGGTGATGTCCTGTCCTGCAGTCCTGCTGTGTCTGGTGCTGTCCTGCAGTCCTGCTGGGTCTGGTGCTCTCCTGCTGTGTCTGGTGCTGTCCTGCTGTCCTGTCCTGCAGTCCTGCAGTCCTGCTGGGTCTGCTGGTGTCCTGCTGGCTCATGAGCCTCAAGATCCTGCTGGGCACTGTGCAGGCAGCCCTTCTCTCTGCTGCACCAAGAGTGCTATTCAGAGACTGATTAGCAAAACTGAGGCTGCCTGCAGGGAGAAAGACCAGACTCTTCCTGCTGCTCAGAAGCTGGATCCTACCCAGGTGCAGAGCAGCCTGATCCACTCCAGGTTTTCTCAGCTGCAGGGCTGTGGTATAAGAGCAAATGCGAGGAGTTCTGCTGTGGGATATGAGTTGAGAGGGGTTGTGTGACCCAACTGCTCCTGAACATAGTGTAATAAAACCTACAGTTAGGGTTTATAAGGTTTAGTAAACTAAGCTACGGTACAAGATCTAGGAGTGCTGCCTCTCATAAACTAGCAGACTGCTCTAAACGGCTTTGTGCTCCTTTAAAAGTTTATTCCCTGTCTTATTATAACACTAACTAACAGTGACATGTCAAGAAGTCTCTCAACATTCCTGCCAGAACAGGTCTTTGTGAGCGACAGTCGATTAGTGATGCGACGCAAGAGATTAGCTTCTGCAATTAGACTCAGTCTGTGCTCAGTGCAGGAGTCCCCGTTGCTGCCTCCTGCTTGATTAAGAGCAGACGGGTCTCAGCTGTGTGAGGGCAGAGGGGTGCAGGCAGGGAGCCAGAGAGTTTGGGCACAAGCCTTCCTCTGAGATGGCACAGTGGTCAGTCGGAGTCTGGCGCCAGGCAGCGAGACTGTGGGGTGGAATCGAGTGCATCACATGAAGTCCTCAATAGACTTTTGTTTTCATTTTGTTTTTGTGTTTTTTTATTTGTTGCTTTAACCTGGATGAGCCCAAACTGTGCTTCAGCCGATCCACACTCTGCACTCTGCTTGTGTCCCATAGAGCCCAAGCTGAGTCTGCAGCCTCAGCCCTGAGCCCAGACCCCCTGAAAGTGGGGATTGTCCCTGAGGTCTTTCTGGTATGTGAGCAGTTACCCCAAAGACAGAAATTCCACCCCCCAAAGGCAGTGAGGTCATTGAGAAAGGCAAACCAGAGGACACCAGGGGAAACTACAAGGCAGTACTTTTAAAACTGAGAACAGGAGGCATTTCTTTACACAAAGGGTTGTTGGAGTCTGGAACAAGCTGCCCAGCCACGCTGTGAAAGTTGTTACCCCGGTTTCCTTCAAGCAACAGCAGGATGAGACACTAGTATCAGTTAGCTGTTAAAAATGTTGCAGGAGAGATGTGCCAGCTGGCCTCCTGTGGTTAGTAACTGTGCTTCTGTTCTTTGGAGAAGCTGCACCAGCTCTCTGCTCTGGGTGACAGGGAAGCCCCAGCTCTGTACTTCAGTCTCCCAGTTGCTCTGCAGCCTCCTGTAGAGCGTCAGGACACTGGATCCTGGGAATGCCACAGGGAACACACCTGGATAGGCGATGGCCCAGCGTTCTGACGCACCAGGACGTGGAGGAAAAAAGCCTGCAAAATACTCTGGCAAGCTTCCCAAGGGAACCCTGCACCAGGAATAAGATTGTGGCTCTGGATTCAGTTCTCCCGGCCCTGCACTACAGGAACAGCCAGTGATGAGCATCTGTCTTCTTCCCTAGAACTGCCTGAAGCCAGCCAACGGGACAGTGTCGGAGTTGAAGAGCTCCCCAGGCTACAGCATCGCTGACCTGGCCACCTCCTCTCTGATGGGTAAGGCAGGCTGCCGCAGGCCGGGGCTCGGGGAGGGAGCAGGACAGAGCCATACTGGGGCAGGTTTACCTGTTCAGACCAGGTGAGGAATCCACAGCTGTCCTTCAGGTCCAGCAGTTAGTCCACTAAGGCTGACCTTCAGCTGCTAAACTAGAGTTGCATCCCGTGCAAGAGAAAAGTGTACAGTGTTAGAGAAATAATTAGATTATAAGGGTTAACAAATTGTAGGAGAATTCTTTCACTGTGTGCTCAATGCACTTGTGTCTGAAAGGGCAGAGTGGAGCACCTGCAGGAGGATCAGACTCCAAGGGTCTTTCTGATGCAGCATGTGTCCCAGAACAGCCCCCCCCCCAGTCAATCAAAGGTCAAAGGTGACACATGGCAGGGTCAGCCAAGCGCTGATGTGGCACACAACCCCACAGAGGGGCTGACCTTTCCCAGGAACCCTCCACACCTCCCGCCATTCCCTGCCTTTGATTTCTGATCCCGGATTGTGTCTTTGATCTGGTTGTTTGTACCGACACTGTGTCCAGTGCACAGTGTGCAGGGATGCGCAGGTCCCAGGCTCACACTGCACCACCCAACGGCAGAAAGCAAGCAGCGGTGTCTGATGTGCTTTGACAAACACAGCCACCCTTAGCAATACAGGCATCAAACGTTTCCCCAGCTCCCTCTCGCTCTCTCTCTCACACCAGCCTGCTCTAATTAAGTGTGTGATTGGACATCTAATAATAAGCCAACTGTTTCCAAGGTTACCACAGGGACCGGCCCCCCCACACATACAGACTTAGAGTGTGTGCTAACAGACCCCCCCTCTCTGCCTGAACCAAAGCGACACGCCTGTCACACCAGCAGCACAGAGACTCAGACTTCAAACTGATCTGCAGCTTCAGTCTGCGCTTGTGAAATCTTGAAGGCAGTTTTAATATTCTGCTGCGATCGTGTCTGTTGAAAGTCAACCTGTGCAGTGTTATCGCAGCTCAAGCCTTTGCTGTCCCTCTCCTCTCCCTCAGAGCTCTTCCCCATGCAGAGCTGGTCAGGAAGAGGGTGGAGGGCTTGCTAGAGAACTGAGGGCTTTTTCATCCTCAAATGTATCTTCATAATAACATAATTCAGGTCACGAACAACAGTCTGCAGAGCACTGTTCTGTGCAACAATTTCTAAGCCTTTTGAGATCCACACCTGGCAGCAGTGATGTCTGGATTCAGAAATCTCAATCCATCTGCTTTTCTCTGACTTGTTCATTTCTAAGAAATACGTTGCTCTTGGTTAGCTGGACTGCAGCAGGAATGATTACCTGAGACTTCATGCTCAAACAAACCAGGCTGTTTCCTCCAGACTAAAGCAGTTTACAGGCAGTTGCTCTGTGTGTGTGAGGAGGCTGAGGCACTGCAACACTGAAAAGTGAAAACGCATTGCAAGGTCGGTGAGCTCACTGTGACCTGCTGCAGTTTCACAGCTGGATGAAAACCAGTCAGAACAGAGCACCAGCCCCGTTTCCCTATAGTCCCACAGGCAGGACTGGAAGTACTGGGAACAACTCCCCTCCCTAGGAGGATCAGCTCCAAGAACAGTCAGTTCTAACTGGCATGTTGCTGGGATGTGGAAACTCCACAGACATTGGGAGAACATGCATACTCCCCACGGAATGTGCTCCACCCTCCATGCCCCAGTGCTGCCCTCTGTTGCCCTTTACAACTGCCTGCTGTAATTTTTAGTACCTGTCAGATCCCGATACGGGCAGCAGACCAGCTTTAGGGGAAGGGGTCTTCTACAGTGGCATAAACACAGACCTGCCTCTGTCTGGGCAGCATCACAAACAGATCCGGTGTGTATCTGAGCAAAGTGCACTCGTGACACATGTGCCAGTCTCGACAGCTGTACAAGAGCCTGCTGTTCAGAAACCCAGCTTGACCACTTTCTCACATCTCCAGAGTGACACATGTGGCACCAGCACAGTGCCACGATCGGGCGGGAACCCTGGCGATCCTGGGTCGCTGCCTCTGTCCCTGCAGTGTCACCCAGCGCCACTCACAGAGGGGGACACTGGAGGTGACATGACTCCCTCAACAGCAGCTGCTCCCACTTGTAGATATTCAAGGATGCATATTCTAAGGTGTAGTTTTTAGTTCAGTAAATAGTCTCTAATTTACTGAACTGAACAAACTCCCTTTGTTCCTGTTCAAAATGCAGTGAGTTCAAGGGCACTTAGACACTTGGCACACAGCCACACTGTAGCACTTGGGCTCTGCTGGCCTCAGGTGGACATTGGCAGTACTGGAGCCCACTGTGTGGGACAGTCATGCTTGCTGGTGTAAGGGGAGATTAAGGGCCTGTATGACTCAGGGATCTTCCTCCCTTTCCTCACTTCCTAGTTGTCTTCTTTTCTCCCCTCCCTCTCACCCTCATGACTCACGTTCACCTCACTTCCTCAGGCTTGGTGGCGACCATTAAGGACCACATCACGAAGCCGACAGCAATGGCGCAGGGCCGGGTGGCGCACCTGATCGAGTGGAAGGGCTGGAGCAGTGGGCAGCAGGGCTGGGGGGGAACCATCCAGCAGGACGACGAGCAGTACTCGGACCTCACAGACGAGCTCAAAGAGGCGCGCTTCGCCGCAGGTCCTCCAGGGGGCGCCGGTGGGCTCGTGCCCCACACACACACACACACACACACACACACACACACACACACACACACACACACGACACCTGAAAAAAGCAGCCCCTTCCACCCGTCTCTCCCAGCATGCTCGTGGGGTTGTCAGTACTCCCTAGATCCGAGCATCTGGGTGCTTCCTGAACGATCCCAAACAGCATTCCCAGCTCATTCCCGGTGATAGCTGTTGCCAGTTGTTTCCGGTCCCTCATGGTCGATGGCATGGTGGCCTCGGGTGCTTGTGGCACGGTGGGCTTTGGGTGTCTTGCTGGACTCTTATATGCATGAGAGTGAGTTTGTGCTTCAGTCAGCTTCAGGTTTCCAAACAAACACCTCATTGTGAGACAGATTACACGCTGTGCCTCCACCAGGGAATTCACTCTCCCGCCTCCTCTCTCCCCCAGGGGTCGTGGAGCAGTTTGCTCTGGCCGAAGCCTCGCTCAGCGCCTGGTCCTCGATGGAAATGGCTGAGGAGCCCAACGGCAGCGCGGCTGTCCTGCAGGGTACGAGCCCCGCGCACTCCTCCGCCATGCGTTGGTCTTGGTGTCTTTCTGTCACCTACTTTCTGACATGTTCTGAAAGAATGGAGGACTTTCAAAAGCTTTTTTATCCCCCAGAGAGCTTGCTCTGCCCCCAAATCAAAGCCCAGAAAATACATTCTCAGACTGGTGGATAGTGGGGAAATAAACTGACTCTTTTCTTCCCTGGCTGTGTCCCTGTGGCAGAGTCGGCCTCGCCATCCACCTTCCATGCATTATTCAACCCTTGGTCTCCCTGTTTCTGAGCTCTAGACGTGCTCACTTTCTCTCTCTGTTTCTCTTGTTGACCCAGACAGACCATTTCTGCCCCAGTTCCTGGCCGACGGCTCCCAGCGGCTGTACAGCTCCACTCTGGACAGCAGCAACGACATCAGCCCCTTCACGCCGCCCTCCTCCCTGCAGCTCCGCCCCCAGGCCCGCCCCGAGGAGGAGGGCTTTCCCAGGGACACGCCCCTAGAGCCTGCGGCACTTGCCTGCTTCTCTTTCCCTGGGGAGGGGGAGCAGGTAGCGGAGCGCCCCCTGCTGCTGCGGAGGAGCTCTCGCGGGGAGCCGCTCACACACAGAGACAAGTCCCTCCGCCACGCGGACAGCAGCTCTCTGTCCGAGGACGAGGTTTTTTACAACTAGCGCCAGGGGCAGAGACACTTCGAGACCTCACCGGCTCGATGTTTTAGGGCTGCAGCGTGTTGAGAAGTCTGCGTGACGAGGGGCGTCAGAGCCCCTGCACTCTTTTACTTAGTCGCCGTGGAAACGATCGAGTCTTTTGACGTTTTCTACACCCCTGCCTGCGCACCTAGAGGCGCCCCCAACTCCTGGACTCTGGGCTCTCCTGCAAGTCAGTGCTGGGTTTTCAGTTAAATAAACTGAGGCATCAATGTATATTGTTTATTTTAATTAGAACCAAAAAACACATTTCCACCACAGTGTATGTATTTCTTTACCGTAGCTCTTGCTGTTATGCTTGACCTTGGCCGCCCTGTCTGTCTGCTAGTGACGTCACTCGCTCGTGAGCTCAGTGTCGCTGTTGTTTCTTTTCTGTGTGAATCACAAGGAATAATAAAATGTGTTTCCAGTTCTGGAAGATGAAAGGTGTCTTCTTACAGAAGAGCCGGAACCCATTTCCATGGAGATGGTCGGACCCGGCCTCTGGACTGACCCCCCCAGATGCCCAGGGCCGCTAAGCCCCCTCACCTGCTCCCCTCTTCCTGCCATTCGTCCAGCAGGAGGCCAGGAGAAGGAAAGGGCTCTAACCATGGGAATGCGTCTGCAGGAAACTAGCATGAGGACGAGGATCTGTAGGTTCACACGATGCACGCCCACCCTCGCGTTCACTCAGACTGCGTGATTGAGGACACAGGCAGCCCTGCGTGGAGGAAACTCAGGACTTTATTAACAAGCAGTGGCAGCGTTAACTCACAGGGCTCAGTAAGGAAGGACGGCCTGTCTGAAACTGAATTTGCAGCATCGCTCGTGATCAGTACAGCCCACCGTGCCCTAGAACTACAGCATCTGAGCTTCAAAGTCCACTTCCCCCGAGCAGATGAACAGCAGGAGAGCTGCTGCAGTCTCATGGACGGCAGCCGTGCCCTCGGTGACTCAGGGCACCAGCAGGGGGCAGTGCTTTCTCATTGGCTCTGCCAGGGGTCTGGGAGGCTGCTGGGATATCTGTCTGTCTGACCCGCTGAAGGAGAGATTAGCTTGCTAATCCTGCACTGGCAGCAGGGCGAGAGAGAGGGGAAAGGAAGAAGTGATAGATGTCAGACGGTCAGAGAGAGAGAGAGAGAGGGCCATGATGTAAAGACCGCAGTGAAGTGAAGCTGCTGGTCCAGCAGGGCAGAGCTGTTATCTGACGTGACGGAGAGGGAGAGAAAGGCCACACAGAGCAGCAGAACACGTCCTCCTGAAGGCAGGAGAACGAGGCTCACGTCAAAGGACAGGAGGGGTGCGGGGGGACAGTTTAACAGTGACAGGCTGTAGCGCCGGAGATAACGAAATCGCTGGGGACGGTCCCACACTTGTTAACAGCAACCTCTCCGTAGCAAATTTCCCTGAGCCACGCACTGAGCCAGACTGCTGTCTCTAGGATCAGTGGGGAGCAGATGGAAGAGTTTGTTAGCCTACTTCCTTAAGAGGTAAAAGATCCTGAATTGCCATGAAATTGATATGCAGCCCTGCCAGCGACATGTCTGATAAGCTTCATTGCTGGCGGAGAATTGTTCCAGGGAGTGAGGACAGGTTTCCAACAGCAGTGAGCACAAGGGTGAGCAGAGCTTTCTGGGCGAGGATGGAGACTCTGCCAGCTGTGTGTCCCTCTAGGGGCCTGTCTGGAGCCGAGCCTGAGGGTGGACTGGCCCGGCCCGCCGCTGCCACTGTCCAGTGGTCATGGCTGAGCAGAAATCTTTCCTGTGGCCATATCTTCAATTGCTTTCTTCATCTGCAGCAATAACGGTGATGTTAGTGGTCATACAAACAGGGTGCTGATTCAACCAAGCAAGCTGGATGAGCATTTGTAACCTCTCTAATGTTCCTGTGTGTGTGTGAGCGTGTGGCTGTGTGTGTGTGAGCATGAGCGTGTGGCTGTGTGTGTGTGTGAGTGTGTGGCTGTGTGTGTGTGAGTGTGAGCGTGTGGCTGTGTGTGTGTGTGAGTGTGTGGCTTTGTGTGTGTGAGTGTGAGCGTGTGGCTGTGTGTGTGTGAGCGTGAGCGTGTGGCTGTGTGTGTGTGTGA